TGGGTATTGTTATAGTAATTTATAATTTTTATGTATTTCAAAATGCTTATATAAAGTCCACAAAAAATTTTTTTCCATATCCACATGTGAATTTGGACAAAGCTTAGCAAGTATGGCTCACGAGTGCAAAAAAGGACTTCGTGGCATTGTAAGTAGTAGGAATCATTGTTTTCCAAATATTTTTATTTACTGTTTTATGTTTGAAGAAAAATATCTGACATTGAAGTATTTATTTGAAAACACACACACACATGTAATGTATGATAGCCAATATATTTCTGTATTTTACAAAGTAAGAACTTGTGTTATTTTTCTGCTAGTTTAAATTGAGGTAGAATAAAAACAAATTATCTAAAACTAAAGAATCCACCCAGCCCATAATGGAAGGGTTAACTAACCTTAGTTCTTCAATTCAGAAGTTGTTTCTTTTGTTACAAGATAAATAAAAAATTGGGAATTTTAAAAACCTGAAAATAGGGATCATAAAAAAGTAAACAAGCAAGGTTGAAGATGGACGTTATTTACTCACACTTCAAACCCCTATTTTGGTTCCATGCTGTTACCTAGAATTACATTTGGTGGAGTCGAAATAGGGATTCATAGCTTGAGTAAATAATGTCTACAATATCTTCAGCCTTGTTTCCTTACTTTTTTATGATCCCTATTTGCAGGATTTTAAATTCCCAATTTTTAATTTATCTTAGTTGCTTGTTTTTTTTTATGCTCAGCTATGGACAAAGAATTACTTGATACAGTAGCTAACTTTATAATGATAATGAACATAGCTAGTAGCTAACTGATGATTTACTATAGCTGTAGAGTATTTGATTGCATTTGTTTGAGATGTAAAATATTAAGCTGCGGCTGGAGATTGTCATGGAGATTAGTTTGAGAATATAGTAAACGTTTATAGTTTCCCTGTAATTAAATTCTCTTTATATTATATATAGCAATTGGTAAATATATGCCTAGACTAAGACACAACCCCCATTAAGTGTGTATAAAATTTTACCAGTAGAAAAGCAACCTTTCCAAATAAAAGATATGTCTGAGACGTCACTTTCAATATATTTGTGTCTTTTTAAAGTAATTATTCTATGAGTATGTGTAATAGAATTTAATATTACATGTATTGATTTTGGTTTTACTTCTTCACTTCATACATAATTTAGGGGTTGGCTCCCTTAAGGCACTGATTGTATAGTGTACAAAGCATTGAGTATCTATATTTTACAGTCATATAATGTTAATCTATTATTGGCTGGTAATTCCTGTTTCACCCTGTACTTAAGCTTTTTAACTCTCTCTACGTAGGATCTGTCGAATTGACTGACCATGTGACCACTTTGTACTCATTTAACCTTATTGACCTGGGTATCCTTTACTGTGCATGACACAAAGTTTTAGTGTCTTACATTGAAAATATTATTAAATTACTTCTTGTTTAACTTCTACTTCTACTTCTAGAGGGCAATATTTTTAAATAATCCTCAATTCCACTAGTTCGACCCACATGACACATTTTCTCTTAGCATGTCATCATCCTTATTTTATCCATAACCCCTCGAAAAAGTATGAAATTAAATGTAAAATACTCTATAAAATCATTATTTCTCAAATAAACCTTAATTTTTATAGCCTTCAATTATGTTTGGTTACAGAACTTTCGAACAGAAAATCAGACCCCTCCTGCCACACCCACCTGTCACATTCTCTTTCACAATTCGTTGATAGTTCTCTATCATTATATATTATCTATAACCAATAAAAAGTCGAGGTTTTCATCTATCAAATGATGTATTGTATAACGTTGTGTTCTGAACAGAATATCGTTAATTCCACTCACAGTACAAGATTCGTTCCCATAAGAAAGTTAATGACTAGCTTGGATGAATTTGTAACGGGTCTTGTCGCACAGTTAGAAAGCCAGAAAAACTTTGAAAGTTAGTGGAATTTGTCTACTTTTTGCATGTTATTAATATATATTCTTTGGTGTATTATTAAGTAAATAAAAACGATTAAGTGCATTCCCATCATTACTATAAAAAAAAATCAATATTAACTGTCCTTGTCAATTGAGGGCAAGGAAAAAGAAGTATGGGTAAGTACTTTATGTTTTGTTTTTCATATTTATTCTTTATTTATTATTATAAATGTAACTAAAATCTAAAAATACGTATTTTTTTAAAGTTATTTTAGAGTAGATTAGGTAAAATAAGTAATAATAATAATATAATTAAAATGGTTCTAAAGGCACGCAAGCGAGCACTTGGTGGGTAATGTATTTCAATAGCATAATGTCAGTTGCACATTCCCCAAGTGATTTACAACTTATAATGGTGCAGATAATAGTTATACATGGTTCAAAGGGCAATAAAAAAACAATTTAATTATAAATAGATGTATACTTACATCTTATCTGTTTTCTCTTCCCTAACTTTTTACAAGGTTGTTAAATTTGACCGATCTCGTAAACACCAAAAAGAAATCAAAATATATCTACATTACCTTTTTCTTTCTAGAATGACTTCAAGTTGTAACATGAAACTACATTTGTTTATTCTAAGTAGCTTTAAACTAGTAACTGTATACATCTATTTATACATAAATTTTATTGTATTATTGCCTTTTGAAATCTCTAACTACTATTTGCACCATTATAGGTTGTAAATCACTTGGGGAACATGCAACTCACATTATGCTATCTAATTACATTACCCACGATCTACTCTGAGCTGCTCACATGAGTGCATCATGAAAAGTTTGTATTATATTATATATTTTACCTAATCTAACTGGCCAGGTGGTTAGGGAGCTTGAATTGCAATCTGAAGGTTGTGGGTTGGAATCCACATCCCACCAAACATGTCCCCCTTTTCAGATGTAAGGACGTTATAATGTGACGGTCAATCCCACTATTCATTGATAAAAGAGTAGCCCAAGAATTGGTGGTGGGTGGTGATGACTAGCTGCCTTCTCTCTTGTCTTTCACAGCTAAATTAGGGATGGCTAATGCAGATAGCTCTCGTGTAGTTTTATGTGAAATTAAAAATAAAACAAACCTAATCTAACCTAAACAATTTCCTATTTTTACATTTTAGTTACTTTTATTATAATAAATAAAGAATACACATGAAAAATAAGAAATAAAGTACTTACGTGGGCCTTCTCTTTTATTGAGGTTGACTGTTGATGACACGTAACTCTACTTTTTTATACTAATGGTAGTAGTGCACTAAATAAGTTTTATTTAATTAAATTTTGCAACAAAGAACAAAGGGGAATAACATGCAAAAAGCAGACAATATTCTGTAACTATCAGAATTTTTCTAGCTTTCTAACTATGTGATAAAAGCTCTTACAAATTTATCCAAGCTAGTTGATATGTTTTCCGTGGAAACATAGCTTGTACTGAAAGAAAACTTTACAGTTCTCTATACAGAAAACAATATAATATAATATGTCATTTGATAGATGAAAACCTTGGATTTCTATTGGTAAAAATAATATAGTATTAAATCTAAGAGAGAACTATTGACAAATCCTGAAAGAGAGGATGTGACAGATAGGTGTGGCAAGAGGGGTCTGATTTTTCTATTTGATGGCTCTGTAACCAAACAAGATTGAAGGCTATAAAAATTATTCTTTGTCGGAGAGGTGAAGATATTATAGTGAGTAATTTATGTTAAATTTCGTACTTAGTGGAGGGGTGGTGAATAAATTAGAGAAGAGGGGATGCATGGAGAAAATGTTGTGTGTCACACTAGGGGAAATTAAGGATCGTTTTTAATATTGCCTTATAAAATTAAGAACTTAAAACTTGTATACTATTAAAATATGGATTATTAGCTATGATTTTATTATAAAGTAATTGGTATAACGTAAACAAAAAGTAATTGTAATTAAATCTTGAATCTAACTCACTAAAAACCTTGTGACATGCACAGAAATGGATACCTTTAGCAAGAGGGTTAACAATAAGTTTATAGGAGTGTACCCAAGTAGCCTCTCGGATAACCAACAAAACAACATGAGTATAAAAAAAATACTTTTTTTTTCAACTTATAGGTTTTGCATTTCATATGCATAACCTCTAGAACCTTCAAAGGGAAAATGTTCTTTTTAATTTAACTTAAATATATTATTATTTCATCTTCTCTATGATATTACTAACTGTAGCTATTATTGTCAACTTATATAGTCTATAGTATATTACAATGAAATGTTTCAAATTAAGACATATGAAAAATGTACACATCTTTTAATATTTGGTGAAATAATCGTAAAACATCTTTTTTTGCATGTCTTTACATTTTCCCATATAATTTATTATGCTTTCCTGTCCTTTAG